CCCTTCCTCCATTATCCTCTCACGCGCACCGCAGCTCGGTGTGACACATGCGCGCGGACGCGACGCCAGCTGAGAGTGAGCCACGCACTTCTGATGATGACAATCACTTCTGTTCCGTTCAGTCCGGGTCCGGGACTCGGCTCAGCGATGTTGTAGCTTCTCCCAGTCTTCCTGTTTGTCCTCAGAGAAGAGGCTGCATGCAGGCAGGTTTGCCTCGAGCCCCCTCCACCCCGACACGGRTCGGTCCACTACAACTATGAGGATCCTGCAGCCCGCAGCGCAGAGAGGATGAACACCACGGGACCGCGGCTCTTGATGTAAGTCATGTTTTCTCTCAGTTATGTCGGAGGGGTCCTGGGGTGCCCCACCCCCTCCCCATCAGCGCAGTGACTGTGATGCTGCTTTAGAAAATACCCCCCCCGCACATGCACTGGTGACATGCGCGCACACCGACGCCACGTAGAATCAGAGCAGCATGTTTTCCCCGGAAGGATGTGAGCAGTGTTTATTGTTAATGTTTTAGAGGAATACAAAGGAAAAGGTCTGCTGGTTGTTTTCTTGGGGGTCAGTTGTCCGCATCAGCGTTTCTTTGGTGGAAGGATTGCCAAAATGCGTTAAAATTTGTGGGAATAAATAAGCAGTGCGCCACCTAGTGGCTCTGCGGACAGGGGTCGAATGTATTTTCCATTACTGACCTGCAGAGTAGTCCTATAAAGAGGAAAGAGAGGGATAATGGCACAATCAGATTTGTTCCCATCCGAGCAGCGTGTGGGTCCACTAATTTGTAGAAACCTCACGTTTGGATGAAAAGAGCTCAATCTGAAACATTTAACATGTGCTGAGGCAACAATGGAAGAGTTTTCAAATGTGAGGCAGTATTTGAGGAGGTAACACAAGTCTTTAATATGACAGGGTCACTTGAGTCTGAAACTGCTTTTCCATGTCATATCATTGACTCCATGTTTCTATAAAATCAGAGGAGCCAATAATGTTGATGGTGCAGTGTTTCACTTAGTGCTGGGCAGCATAACCAACATTTTAACATTTTATATCCTGGTATATTTAACAATTATATTGACTGTATTTTTCCTTTCATGCATAGACCCTACCGGTGTATGTTAACCACATTTTATACTGAATAAGAGGGAAATCACTGCAGTGAAGAGCCTACTACAATGTCATATCCACACAAATATCAGTTTTCAGGGCTGTGTCACTAATGAGTCATCTTTCCTCTGTGCTCTTGGTACAACACAGGGATCGCTATTTGGCTAAAATATTAGTGACTTGAGTTCACACAGCAGCTATTCAGTGCTTTGACCACAGCTCTGAAACCTTATTTTTCCGCGGTGTGTAACCGGACCATGTCAGGACCATGCATCGACAACTTTAACTCAACAGAGTTTTCAAAAATACCATCACTTGATAAACATCCAAGCTTTTAAAGGGAAAGTATTTCCACACAACAGAAACCGCCTCCTTGTTTTTAGGCACAAGTTCTTCTTGAGCATCACCCTCAACTTTTCCGTCAGCCACAGTTTATCTTTCCATAATTTCTACATCCAGCTCTGCACGCTCGACACCTTCAACAACATGAGCTGCCTTGTGCCACTCTATTTCCTGTATGTGCATTCATAGGTGCAGCAAGGAAAAGGGTCCTTGTGAAAAAGTATATTGGCGGGGTAACATTCCAAATGTGGCTCAGACRGGTGTTAGAAAGTTCATATCATAACAAAAATTTAAAAGCTGTTTTTGGTACATCGCCTAGCTCTATTTTCACTTAAAGAAAGCTGAAACTGACTGTGATGCAACGTTGAAAATACGAGGTGAAGAATATTGCTGTGTCCAAATGTGTCTTCTGCTTACATCACAGCAGTGTGAAGGGCTGAAGGAACTGTCCAAGGTCCTGAAAGTGCTGGAATGCTTCAGGACTTTAGACAATGTGAAGAACTGAAAGAACTGTCCAAGGTCCTGAAAATGCTGGCACTTTTTAGGACCTTGAACAATTTGCAGGCCTGAAGGAACTGTCCAAGGTCCTGAAAGTGCTGGAATGTTTCAGGACRTRYYACAGTGTSWAYGHCTGAAGGAACTGTCCAAGGTCCTGAAAGTGCTGGAATGTTTCAGGACTTTAGACCATCCAAATTCACAGCCCCTTTTTCCTGGTTATTGCGGTTTACTAAAGGCCCAGCCCACCTAGACCAGGTAGGACAGGGCCATTGAAGGATCCAGCCCCTGAATTTGGACACAGCCAACTTTTTTATCAAATAATACTTAGCCCTCTCTGTGAGGAGTTTGTACATTTAATGAAACATATTGCACAGTTTGATATCTGACATGACAAACATATCTGCCAAACGGTCCGGTTTGAAAGAGTTTACTCGAGTAGTTTTGACATTTGTTGATATGTGATTCTGAAGTGCAGGTGCGCATTCAATGTAAACAAAACAGTCTGCTGAATCTGCAGAAAACCACACAGAAGCTTGAACTATTGACCTTCACTAGAACCAGCTGCAGTTCATGTAGATAAACTCGTATTGGGCAATTGGACAAGAGAATCTTGGAGAAGACCTTTAGGGCAGCGGAAACCCCTAAAGACCAAGCTTGAGCTTTTGTAAAACTTCTTCAAGACCTTAGCTTGTTTTATATTTTGCTTGACAAATCGATGTGTGGCCCAAACAGCTCTTCTGTGGACACCAACAATCTTCAACTGTTTCCATAAGTAAAGGGATACAGGTGCTATTTAAGGTCACTTATTTCAGGATGGGTTAAGAAATTTATCAATTAAAGCATCAATATGAAAAGAAGTGCACATTTTGACCGTTCTCCATGAATTTGCAACAACTTCCATTTAAGTTTGTCCTTGTTAGACCATTTAGTTTTTGTCTTTTTTCACATGCTGCAGTTTTAAAGAAAAAAAACATTTTGATTTGAAATATCAATAAAAATCAATTTTCCCCATATAAATCAATGGGATTTTGATAAAACTAATGGAGAAACTGAGGCCTTTTTGTAGCTCTGCAGCTCAGACATACTTTAGGCTGGAAGCATTATTCAAGGTCCAAACAGGTCTCATAAAGTTGGAGTTTACAAGACTGGATTGGCATTTTGGTATCTTTTCCTGTTTTTACACAACAGCAGTAGTAATGTGACCAGACTGAACCACCAGAGTCGTTTCTGCACTGCAATGTTTGTATTTTTTCTTAGTTCGTATGATTAAAAGTTGATGTTGTAATTTGGAGCAGTTGTAGTTTAATTTGCATGTTCCCACAGAGCACAGTCATGTTTTCAGTGTATGAGAGGAAGCTCTGTGTTCCACATCACTACATCCAAAAATCAATCTCTGTTAAMCTCATTTGTTCTGCACTATATACAGTTTGTACATCCCCCAATATCTGAGTCAGAGGTAGGAACTTGAAGTCTTTTAGAAAAGCGTTCAACCAAGAATGGTCAAATTCTGATTCTGCATTCAAAATATGTTCAAGCATTAAATACTAAAGTACTGACAGAGCAGAACTTGTCATGAGTCTAGTTTTCCACAGCTAAAACCTGTTAAAAATGTGAGGAACTATATATTTTTTACCATAGTTTCTTTAGATTTAAATGATGATTTCATCCTCGAGTCGACCAAAAAATAAATAAATTAAAAAAAACATTCCCTCCAGGTGTTTGAGAGCCAAAACATCCAGTAGAGTAGAGCGAGTCAGCGTCCAGAAGGACAAGCTGAAAACATGATGCTGCTGGTGTTGAAGCATGAAAAGTCACCCTGCTGCAGCCAGGTGTGAAAGACAGGCAGCCTTAGAGCGAAACAAGCAGGTAGACAGGTTCTGGGTTACCTGTGGTGCCCAGGAAATTGAATTTATGTAAAACAAAACAAAAAAAACATTATTTTAAAATGACAGAGCTTATTTTTGTTTTAGTCTGTAATGACTGTGTTTATATTTTTGTGATGGTCACTTTAAGTTAAAAAAAATAAACAGAATGTCACACAGTTTATAATTATAGTTTGTGGAATAATATATTACATTAATACAGAGATATCAGAGTGATGTTCACAGAACAGGAGCAGAGAAAAACTGAAATAGTCTCTAGACTTTCAGAATTTAGTACCACTAAATGTGTTGATGAGAGTGCTACGGGGGGGTTCAGCCCCCTCTCCACCTCTGCATGTCTTCTGAATAGACCGAAATGGTCAGTAACAGAGACATTAAATTTATTTTTGACCGAAAAGTCAACTACCAAAACATTAATTAGTTACAGTCTTAAAGTGCCGTCAGAATTGAACTCTTAGTTCCCCATACTGTGGTTGCTCAGATCTACCTACAACAGGTAAGGTATTTATTATTCATAGTGTTTTATTTTACACAAATCCACTTCAAAACACCTGAATTATTTCTTTAAGATGAGCAATCATCTTGACGATTCCCAGAGGTGACAATCAGCACTTTATTGATCAGTATCATTAAAATTAGTATCCATGTTTTTTGGAATCACTTCAAGCATTAAGTCAAAGGAATTAAGTCATTAAGATACTAAGTGTTGATGCTCGGGGCATGTTGTGACGCAGAAGGTTCAGATCTGTGAGGCGCCCAGTTTTCCCTCCTTATTCATGAACGTTTCTTCGAGAACAAAAATGTTTGTTCGTGTAAACAGAAAGAGACYGATTTTACCCACAACCACTAACAGATGCTGCTGTTCACTGTTTTTTTATTGTTACGTTTTTTTTTCCTGTTAAGCAGGTTCCTGCCAAAAGGGATCGTCTTGTACGCTTTTGTGTTATTTCTCTGAAGGCAGGAGACCGGCGCTCCGAATGTTTGGAGGATACTTTTTGCTTCAAAGGTTGTCGTGGAGCTGATGTCTGCAGCTAAATTTAAAGGCTACCTGTCAAACCGCTTCAGATCAACAGGAAGCAAAACAAATATTTACTCCCACACAGAGGCTTGGGTTTGGTGATATCACCCCAAGTCAGCTTCTGCCTCACTTACTGCTTATTTTTTCTTTTATTTTGTAACAGACTTTTAACCCAGGTTCWTTAAATGAGTCTTTTTGTTGAGGATTAAAAGAAACGTTTTCAGAACAGAACATGGATCTTTTTCTCTCAGGTCTAAACCAAAAAAAAAAAACTATTTTAGCTGCTTTTGTTAGATTCTATTTTGAGTTTTCTATTTTTGGACTTGCTTTTTTCTGATTGGGCGAGATCACATTCCTGATTTATCATTTTTACATAATCTGTCCTGAAATGACCAATATTCACATTAAAGTCAGCAGAATGGGACAGATGTGATCTAAATCTGGTCAGTTTCTGTTTAAGGTGGATGGT